CTAGCTAGAAATTGAGAGTAAGAGTTTGAAAACCGAAAAAGGTAAACTAGGTATGAAAAGGGGAATGATTAAATGTGGTATCTTCCATTTGTTTTTCTGGATCAAGATTTCATAGGACTGAGGGTTCTCTGAAGTCACAAACAAGCGATTAAGTATATCTCTTGATTGAACCTCATGTAAGTTTCTCTAAAGAAAGTTTCTCTAAGACTTCCACTCTTAGGGGCACGTGGATGGCTCAGTCAGTTGTGTCTGACTCTTGATTTAGGCTCAGATCATGATCCCATGGCTCATGGGATCAAGCTCAGAGTCGGGCCTTATGCTGACTATGGATTCTGTCTCTCCCTTTCTCTTTGCCCTTCTCCCGCTCATGCCTGCATGCATATACGAATTCTCTTTTGCTCTCCCTGAAAATAAATACACTTAAAAAAAAAAAGATATACTCTTAGTTTGGGCAACTTTTCCACCTTTTTATGATAAGTATTTCAACCATATTGGAACAGTAGAGTGAATAGTATTATGAACTTCCAAGTAAACATCATCCAGCCTCACTAGTTATTATTGACTCCTTACCAGTTTTTTTTTCATCTGTACCCCTGCTTATTCCCTGTCCTCTCACTGTTGTGAAGCAGATTCCAAATAGCATATAATTTCATCTGAAAATATTTCAGTAAGAATCTCTAAACTATAAAGGATTTTTGTTGTTAAACACAACCATATTGCCATTACATTTTAGTAAAAATTTAAGTAAGTTTGTTTAGGACTTACCTTTCACTCTGTCTTAAAGACTCACCAGATAAATAAATAAAAGATTCATCATAATATCTTATACAAATTAACACAAATTAAACTGATTTATCTTTCAAATTGGAATACTTGTGAGAGTGAAAGGGGGTGCTATTAACAGTTATGCTAGGACAGCAGTGGAAATCTAGGACTGTCCTGATTAAACTCGGATATATGTGGTCCTCTCTTTCAAAGTAATATTTGCTGTTTGGATAGCTACATTTTTTCAATAAGCTTTGAATTGCCTAAATCAGTCAAGTTGTAGCTAGGAGCATGATGAAACTTACCATAGAATTTTCAAGTCTAAAAATTAAAAAAAATTTTTTTTAATGTTTTTATTTATTTTTGAGACAGACAGAGACAGAGCATGAGCAGGGGAGGGGGCAGAGAGAGAGGGAGACACAGAATCCGAAGCAGGCTCCAGGCTCTCATCTGTCAGCACAGAGCCCGACACGGGGCTCGAACTCACAGACCGTGAGATCATGACCTGAATAGAAGTCGGATGCTCAACCGACTGAGCCACCCAGGCACCCCTCAAGTCTAAAATTTTTATAGTGCCTGTAGATTTCAACTTGTTTTTTTTTTCTTTTTAAGTTTTTTATTATTTAAGTAATCTCAATGGGGGGTTCAAACTCACAACCCTAAAATCAAGAGTTGCATGCTCCTGTGACTGAGCCAGCCAGGCACCCCTCAACTTAGTTCTCTCTCTCTTTTTTTTTTTTTTTTAACTTTTTTTTTTTTTTTTAACGTTTATTTATTTTTGGGACAGAGAGAGACAGAGCATGAATGGGGGAGGGGCAGAGAGAGAGGGAGACACAGAATCGGAAACAGGCTCCAGGCTCCGAGCCATCAGCCCAGAGCCTGACGCGGGGCTCGAACTCACGGACCGCGAGATCGTGACCTGGCTGAAGTCGGACGCTTAACCGACTGCGCCACCCAGGCGCCCCTCTCTCTCTTTTTTTTGAGAGGTTTTATTTTTTAATTTTTATTAAGCATTTTTTTCTTAATGTTTATTATTTTTAATTTGAACTTATTTGATTGATTGATTGATTGTGATTTTTTAATATGAAATTTATTGTCAAATTGGTTTCCATACCACACCCAGTGCTCATCCCAACAGGTGCCCTCCTCAGTACCCATCACCCACCCGCCCCCTCCGCCCACCCCCCCTCAACCCTCAGTTCTCAGTTTTTTTAAGAGTCTCTTATGGTTTGGCTCCCTCCCTCTCTAACTTTTTTTTTTTTCCTTCCCCTCCCCCATGGTCTTCTGTTAAGTTTCTCAGGATCCACCTAAGAGTGAAAACACTTGGTATCTGTCTTTCTCTGTATGACTTATTTCACTTAGCGTAACACTCTCCAGTTCCACCCATGTTGCTACAAAAGGCCATATTTCATTCTTTCTCATTGCCACGTAGTATTCCGTTGTGTATATAAACCACAATTTCTTTATCCATTCATCAATGGATGGCTTAATATTTATTTTTGAGAGAGAGAGGCAGACACAGAATCCTAAATAGGCTTCAGGCTTGAACCCATGAGCTGTGAGATCGTGACCTGAGCCAAAGTCAGACACTTAACCAACTGAACCACCTAGGCACCCCTAGAGATTTTATTTTTAAGTAACCTCTACACCCAGCATGGGGCTTCAACTCAAAACCCTGAGATCAAGAACCACACACGCCACAGACTCGGCCAGCCAGGTGCCCTCAACTTGGTTCTTTTTTTTTTTTTTTTAAGTTTATTTATTTATTTTGAAAGAGAGAAAGCACAAACAGGGAAGGCTCAGAGAGAGGGAGAGACAGAATCCCAAGCAGGCTCTGCCCCATCAGCACAGATCCCAATGTGGGCTCAAACTCATGAACTGTGAGATCATGACCTGAGCTGAGATTAAGAGTCAGTTGCTTAACTGACTGAGCCACCCAGGCACCCCTCAACTTGGTTCTTCTTTTTTCTAGGTTTTTTAAATGTTCATTTTTGAGAGAGAGAGAGAGAGAGAGAGAGAGAGAGAGAGAGAGAGAGAGAGAATATGCATGTGAGGGAGGGGCAGAGAGAGAGGGGAGACAGAAGAAGATCTCAAGTAGGCTCTCTCTGCCCTGTCAGTACAGAGCCCAGTGTAGGTGGGCTTGGACTCAGGAACTGTGAGATCATGACCTGAGCCAAAGTTGAACGCTTTAACTGACTGAGCCACCCAAGTGCCCCAACTTGGGGTTTTTTTTTTTTTGTTTTTGTTTTTTTCCAATTTCTTCACATCCTTTCCAATACTTTTTATTTTCTGTTCTGTTTTTGTGTTTTTCTTATAATCATTCTACTTGGTATGAAATGGTATCTCATTGTGGTTTTAATCTGCATTTCCCTGATGATTAGGGATGTTAAAGATCTTTTATTGACTTATTGACTGTTCATGTATCTTCTTTTTTTAATGTTTTTTTCTTTCTAAAATTAATTTATTTTTTACAATTTACATCTAAGTTAGCATATGGTGCAGTAATGATTTCAGGAGTAGATTCCTTAATGCCCCTTACCCATTTAGCCCATCCCGCCTCCCACAACCCATCCAGCAACCCTCTGTTTGTTCTCTATATTTAAGAGTCTCTTATATTTTGTCCCCCTCCCTGTTTTTATATTATTTTTGCTTCCCCTAACTTGGTTCTTAATGACACTTTCATAAAAGTAGAAGTGGAACCATCAGGCATAAACCACAAATTAAAATGAACCCCTTGTTTAAATGCATAGTTTATAGGCTTGTGGATATTAGATCATAGAGAATTAGAATACATTATACAGTAGATTAGGTAAATGAAATGATGGTCAAGTTTAAAATGTCAAAGGTTTTTTCTGTTAAAGTTGGTAATTCACCATGATATTAGATTAACTTTATACCCAGCATAAACTGAAATTAGTTTTCAGCATTTTCAGATTAGAAAACACAACTAGACCTTCTTTATCTATTCTTCTCAAGTTTATGCTGTGTTACTATAGCAAGTAATTCTCAGAAACAGCTCCATCCAGTTAGTGTTTGCTTATTATCAGTAATATTTTAAGCAACTACCTTTTAAAAAAATTTTTTTAATATTTATTTATTTTTGATTTTATTTTTTATTTTTTTAAGATTTACATCCAAATTAGCATATAGTACAACAGTGATTTCAGGAATAGATTCCTTAGTGCCCCTTACCCATTTAGCCCATCCCCCCTTTCACAATCCCTCCAGTAACCCTCAGTTTGTTCTCCATATTTATGAGTCTCTTCTGTTTTGTCCCCCTCCCTGTTTTTATATTATTTTTGCTTCCCTTCCCTTATGTTCATCTGTTTTGTATCTTAAATTCCTCACATGAGTGAAGTCATATGATATTTGTCTTTCTCTGACTGACTAATTTTGCTTAGCAGAATACCCTCCAGTTCCATCCATGTAGTTGCAAATTGCAAGATTTCATTCTTTTTGATTGCTGAGTAATACTCCATTGTGTATATATATCACTTCTTCTTTATCCATTCATCCATCGATGGACATTTGGGCTCTTTCCATACTTTGGCTATTGTTGATGGTGCTGCTATAAACATGGGGGTGCATGTGTCCCTTCGAAACAGCACCCTGTATCCTTTGGATAAATGCCTAGTAGTTCAATTGCTGGGTCGTAGGGTAGTTCTATTTTTAGTTTTTTTGAGGAACCTCCGTACTGTTTTCCAGAATGTCTGCACCAGCTTGCATTCCCATTAAGCAGCTACCTTTTAATAATAAAGTATACATCTATGATTGCCCCGATCAGGAGCTGAAGTCAGACTTTTAAAACACAATTCCATTAGGCCAGTTCTTTGGAAAAATAAATACCCTTTAGTGTTGAAATTTCTTTCCTTTCATTTTCTTTAACCACAGTTTCAGTTTTAATACTTTTTCTATAAGTAAAAGATAACTCATATCATCTAGTTCTTTATTTTTTAGTTTATTTTCTGAATCATCTTCAAGTCTTTGACGTTTATATGTAAAACAGTATAATTCATACATCCACACACTGACTTCGACTTTGTGGCCTTTTTAAAAATTAGAATTGATCTTCTGTAACATATAGTATCTTAGATTTTTTTCCCCCACATGGTTCTGTTGCTGTGGATTTGAAATCATGGTGATGTATTAGGTTTAATTTGTTACATTAAAAAAAAAATGGGTTCACAGTTCTTTATGCATTTAAGTATTTTGAATTACTTTTCCTCTCTTTCTAGCTGTCCCCTTTCCTCCAACCCAACGGCTTACTTTGAAGGAAGTATTTGAGAATGGGAAACCTAAAATTGATGTCTTAAGAAACCATTTGGTGAAGGAAGGGCGACTGGAAGAGGAAGTAGCCTTAAAGATAATCAATGATGGGGCTGCTATCCTGAGACAAGAGAAGACTATGATAGAACTAGATTCTCCAATCACAGGTATGAGAAATATTTGGGTGGCACTTAGATTTGAGCTTATTTGAAAAATTATTACAAATAACCAACTAAAATGTATGATAATTTTTCTAGGAATTATGAGGTAGTCTTAGGATTGTTTGTTGTTTATTGAAGAAATACAACTTAAAATATCTCATATTTCCTATAGGACTATTCAGTATTGATAGATTGACTACAATTATAGAACAGCCCAGTCAAAAGCTAAAGTGATTTCAGTTAAAAGTTAAACTGTGATCTTATTGATGTACTGTCCTTTCTCTTCTAAGACATCATTTTTCACCTCACCTTATGCCCTTTTTTTCCTAGTGTGTGGTGACATTCATGGACAATTCTTTGACTTGATGAAGTTGTTCGAAGTTGGAGGATCACCTACTAACACACGCTACCTCTTTCTGGGTGACTATGTGGACAGAGGCTATTTCAGTATAGAGGTAAAAATTAAATTGGATACGTGGGAACTTTCATTACCTTTTTTTAGAACTTTGCTTTCTACTCTTCGGTAGAAGAGATTAAAATGAGAACATTGGCAGAACTTATAAACCTTGTTACTTTTAGTAATTAAGGTGTTAGAAAAATGTTTTCACTGGTGTAAGAAAGTTCTATTCCTTCTTGTAGCTTCTATATGTGGTAGACATATAGAAGGGGCTATATTAAACCCAGCTTTGCAGGTAAGTCAAATGTTTACCAACCTTTCCTCTTTGAAGATAGTGCACAGGCTGTATATAAATGGCATAAATTGCTATTCACCCTAAACAGGGTTTGGATTAGCAGACACTAATTCTAAAACCACAAGCTGGTGGGCTGTAATTTACTCTTAGATTAACTTCCGATGCTAAACCACCAGGCACTTAGTTTACTGTAGGAATACTTTTTGATACTGTTATGCATAGTAAGCACTAATAAATGTTCATTGAATAAAAAATGATTAAAATTAATGAAGTTAATGGAAACTCAAAATTTACTTTCATGTATTTTGAAAACTGAATGAAGAGAAAAAAATGATTGGAATTAAAGTATAAGCTGTTGTGTATAAAAAATAAAACTATTTTAGAACATCATGCAAAGACTTGAGTACAGTGGAACCATATTCATATTTAATATCAATTGATTTAGCTGTACATGCTTTGCAAATAAAAGGCAAGTAACGTTTGAAATAGTACAGGTAATTGAATTTATAATGTGCCCAAGAATAAGCATGAGATGAGAAATTGAGTCCGCTTGCTGTTTTTGTAGTCTTTAGTCCTGCCTCTCCCTCATAGTGTGACGGTCTCAGTGTATTTAGTGTGTTTCTAGTGGTTAAAGGTTTATTTGTGCAGCATCACTCCTAAATCCAAGTCAACTATCTCACCTAGTGCTTAAAGAAGCAGTGGTTATTCTAAAGCTGGAAGAAACTCTTTAGTTAAATAGATGTGTCTATTCATGAATCAGTGAAGTTCAGAGTTATGTGCCAGTGCCCCAAATTAATTTAGTGTCATCTGTGAGGACAAAGGTTAATGGTAGAAGCTAAGAAAATTATCTTCTTGCCCCGCTGCTCAGTAAATTCCCAAGGTCTCCAAGTAGGTACCTGGGATGAGTGGAGATGATACCTGCAGACTGTATCATTGAAATGCTTCTCTATTCCAGGTATCCTAAGTGTCCATTGATAGGGACACCTGGGTCGCTCAGTTAATTGTCTGACTTCAGCTCAGGTCATGACCTCACGGTTCATGAGTTTGAGCCCTGAGTCAGGCTCTGTGCTAACAGCCTGGAGCCTGCTTTGGATTCTGTGTCTCCCTCTCTGCCTCTCCCCTGCTCATGCTCTGTCTCTCTCTCTCTCAAAAATAAACATGAAAAAAGTTTTTAATTAAAAAATTGTCCATTGATAGATGAATAAATAAGATGTAATAAATATATATAATGGATATAATATAATAGAAAATTACTCAGACATAAAAGAGAATGAAGTGTTGCCATTTGCAACAACATGGATGGACCTAGAGGATATTATGCTAAGAGAAATAAGTCCAAGAAAGACAGATACTTATGATTTCACTCAGGTAAGGAATCTATAAAACAAAACAAGTGAACAAACAAAACAGAAGCAGACTTATTTATAAACACCAAGAACAAACTGGTGGTTGCCAGAGGAGAGGGGAGTAGGAAGTCAGGATATAGGTAGAGGGGATTAAGAGGTACAGACTTCCAGTTATAAAATAAATAAGTCATGGATGAAATGTACATCACAGGGAATATAGTCAAAATACTGTAATAACGTCATATGGTGACGGTGATAACTATCCTTATTGTGGTGAGCATTGCATAATATATAGGATTGTTGAATCACTATGTTGTACACCAAGAACTAATATTGTATGTCAACTGTAGTTCAATAAATAAATAAAATAAAAAGGGAAGCAAACATAGTCTAAAAAGGAAAAGCTTTCTAATTCCTATTCACATCATGTTTCTTTTTTTTTTTTTTTTCAACGTTTATTTTATTTTTGGGACAGAGAGAGACAGAGCATGAACGGGGGAGGGGCAGAGAGAGAGGGAGACACAGAATCGGAAACAGGCTCCAGGCTCCGAGCCATCAGCCCAGAGCCCGACGCGGGGCTCGAACTCACGGACCGCGAGATCGTGACCTGGCTGAAGTCAGACGCTTAACCGACTGCGCCACCCAGGCGCCCCAACACATCGTGTTTTAAGAGACAATCAAAAATATGGATGTTTGAAAGACACATTGAATGTTTACTTCTTTGGGTATTGATTAGCATGAAGAGGTTTTATCTATCTATCTATCTATTTTTGAGAGAAGAGAGAGCCAGTGAGCGAGGGGCAGAGAGAATTCCACGAGTTGCAGAGAGAGAGGGAGAGAGAGTACGGAGCCCAGAGCTGGGCTCAAGCTCACCCAGAGCAGGGCTGGAACTCACAAACCATGAGATCATGGACCTGAGCCAAAGTTGGATGCTTAACCGATGGAGTCACCAGGTGCCCCAGCATGAAGAAGTTTTAGAGGCTGAAGAGAATACAGAACTTACTGAATATTTAATTAGTCATTATATTTAATGAAACAACTTCTTTTTTTTTTTTAATTTTTTTTTCAACGTTTTTTATTTATTTTTTGGGACAGAGAGAGACAGAGCATGAACGGGGGAGGGGCAGAGAGAGAGGGAGACACAGAATCGGAAACAGGCTCCAGGCTCCGAGCCATCAGCCCAGAGCCCGACGCGGGGCTCGAACTCACGGACTGCGAGATCGTGACCTGGCTGAAGTCGGATGCTTAACCGACTGCGCCACCCAGGCGCCCCTGAAACAACTTCTTAAAAAGATAATATTATGCCAAATCATCTTCAGGTTGTTGTTAACTGACATATTTACAAATAGTTTCAATGCATTAATACATTCAATATAAAGCACACACTGAAAAACTCCATAATGATTTTTGTTTTTGTTTGTTTGTTTTTTTGTTTTTTGTTTGTTTGTTTGTTTGTTTTTTTATTTATATATGAAATTTATTGTCAAATTGGTTTCCATACAACACCCAGTGCTCATCCCAAAAGGTGCCCTCCTCAATACCCATCACCCACCCTCTCCTCCCTCCCACCCCCCACATAATGATTTTTGTACACACATACTATATTCAGAATATTTTCTGTTACATATTTTTTCCTCATTCATCAACAAATGTTTCCTGATTGCCAACTTTATGGCAGGCTCTGAGGATAAAATAATGAATAAGATTTATGCTTTCTATTTTTATTTGTTTGTTTTTAAGATTAATGCTTTCTATAGGAGCTGACAGTCTGTTAGAAAAGATGCACTTGTAACTAGATTTTTCAATACAGTATAAAAGTGCTTGTTTAATTTTCTGCAATATTCTTCATATTAAGACCTAGCATACTAGCATGGTACCTGACACATAGTTGGCACTCAATATTTGCTCAATGAATGAATGTTAATAAATCATAGTTTGTATTTGGCTTTATCCTGTTATTTGACATTTGACTAACTTAAAGGATTTTTCTGGAATAGCTTAAGAGGTAAATGGATCAAAACATTAAAGTGACAATGCTATTTTATACCAGTTTTAAAACTAAAATTTAGGGTGTATATAGTGTTAGTTGGAAGTCACCTACTTATAAACTACCAAGGTTATAAACTTCTGTAGGCTACAGCTTAGTCCAGCATGATATAGGTATATACTTGATCACAGTTTTTTTTTTTTTATCAGTGTCCTTGATAAGCATGAGTATGTTGTTTTTGTCAAATGGATGAAAATAAGGTAATGGAGTCCTTATTACATTTTTGTTGTTGTAAATAGTTCATTTTTGTAGAAAAATTGGGAAATGTAGACTCTAAGAAAACAAAAACTTGTATAAATCACATATAATCACTGTTAATATCATAGTTTTTTTTTTCTTTAAGATTTTAAATTATTTTTTAAAAGTAATCTCTACACCCAATGTGGGGCTGTAACTCACAACCGCTGGACCAAGAGTTGCATGCTCCACTGACTCAGGCAGCCAGGTGCCCCAACATCTTGTATTTTCTTGCAGTCCTTTTTCTTCTTTTACATTTGTATTTATCCTTTTTTAAAGAAAATTGAAATCATTTTGGACATTTCCTTTTGTAGTCTTTTTTCCCCCACTCAGCATTGTATTGAAAACACTTTTCTCTGTGGTTAATGGTAAAAATACCAGAATTTACTTCACTGTTCTTTATTTTTGGATGTTTGGTTTGTTGATACTGCTTGCTGCCTATCTTTTCTCTCCTTCTTCCTTACTATCAAAATTCTATTTTTTTCAGATAAGTGAGATTGGGGTTTCAGAGAAAACCTTTGATTTCAGTATGGGGAAGCCCTTAACCCAGCCCCAGGGAATGAATTGATTGGTCTGAGCTAGTCATATAAACCCATTCCTTGTCACCAGTGATTGGTCTAGGGATAAACATGGGATTCAGTTTTGCCCAGTAATATATAAAGGGAACTCTGCTGGGTGCTTTTTAGGTGTGTGAGTGTGTGCGTGCATGCGCATGCGTGCTGACACACACTTTGAAACACTTCGTTTCCAGATGAAAAGACTAGCAAGGTGAAAGTTTCTGAACCCCTGTTTAACTACATCATATCAAATGTGGGTGGGTACACTATAGCAGCCATTTTGTGATCATGAGGAGGTGCTAAGGATGAAAAGCAGACCTGTGAATTACAGATCATAGAGGGAAAGAGGACATGGTTTCTTGGTGACAGCATTAAGCTGGTACACTAAATCTGGACATCTTACCTCCAGATTTCTTGTTTCATGAGATATTTAATGTCTTTATGGCTTAAACAATTGTTAATTGGATATTTATCACTCGTACTGTAAGTGGATGTTTTCTAGTTACTTCTGCATATTGCTACACCTTTCTGAATTAATAACATTTCTGATATTTACTTAGGTTAGATTCTTATAAG